CGAGTCGACCCATAAAGTCATTTGGAATCAAAATCAAACGTAATTAAAAAAAAAAAGCTTGGCCGAGTCGACCATATATTTAGGATGACCGCACTTCAACATTTCAAAACAAAATTAAATCGCTTAGAATGCATATTTAGAACCTAAAATATTGAAGCAAACGTAAAAAAAGAAAAAAAATCAGTTCAGCGGCTTAGCCGAGCCGATACTAAAAGTCTATCGGCTCGGTTTGGAAACGCCAAAAAAATAATAAAAAAAAGCCGTCGGCTTATGAACAGTGCTTAAGAATAGTGGTTACATCCTTCACTCTTTTAATAATGTAGGATTTTATCCAAGAATAATGCTACTTGTAGTCGCTCACTGCAGCAGTCGACCTATTTGGCACACACATGTCAATTGTGTATTTAATGCATTAAATGTGGTCAAAAACTACCACATTAATGCATCAAATAATTACATGACATGTGTGTGCCACATAGGGCGATTGTTGCAGTGAGCGACTGCAAGTAGCATTACTCTTTATCCAAGTGGCAGCGTTGTGGTCGATAATAAAGTTCTATTCTTTCTTTCTTGTCCTAACTCCAAAATTCTTCGACTTGTTGACTTAAAAAGGATACGATGCGCCTGAAATGATTTGCATTAGAGGTGATAATGAATCAAGTTCGGTCAACTCAATCCTTTGATACACTAGCTTGATTCGTGTTCACAAGTTAGGCTCGATTTAGCCGTTGGCTCGTGGGTCGGGCCGAATAGTTCAGGAGTCCATGATTTAGCTCATTTTTTTAAAAAAAATAAATTGATAAAATCTGTGGACCCATGAGCTCGAAAATAGCCACTTGTGAATGGTGTTTGACTCGGCTCATGGGTTGTTTCTAAACGAGTTTGAGCTATCCATGGCCAGATAATATGATTCTCCAAAGCAACACTCTCGAAAGTCAATTTACATCATTAACCCTGAAGTTTAAATTTTTTATAGTTTTATAATTTTTGTTCAGTTTTTAATTTGAAAGTAACATGACTCAAGTTTTAATTCCTAAATTCAAATATAAATTCTTGGAGAATAAAGTTTCAGGCGATCTATCTAATGTATCCCTATGTTACGGGTAAATACGTTTGACAACAATTTGTCTGACCAACCTCTCAGGCAATGATGTTAAGTCCTTCTTAATTCAATATGTATCGACCGATGATTGAAGTGAAATATCAACACCACAAATGTAATGACCTAAACATATAACATATTTAGACCATTTGAAGTAACTTAATTTAATTAAAGCTACTCATGATCTGACTCATAATTCCTTAGATGGTTTTTGGTATGTAGCCCACTTATTAATTATCTATTATGTTCTTGGGCCTAATCACTACTTAACCTAAAAGCCCACCTATTATTCTTTATATGTTGACCCCGTTGCTTTGTGTTGGATGTGTGTGAAAATGTAATTGCTGCTCCAGCCTGTGAGAGTTACGGGCTGCACTCTTTGCTTTGTGCTTTCTTTGTAGTGTTCTAGTCTCTCCATTCGCTTGGCTTTCGTGGTTATTGTGTGGCTGCAATAACCATCACACGCGTCCTTAGTGGGCAACCAAATAACAACCGGTTGATTGTGGTTTATGTTTTTGGGTTTTGTGACATTGTGGTGTCGATTTTGATATATACAATTATGCATTGAGCTCGAAATTCCTTTGGTGATCAATTTCAATTCTACAAAATAGTTATTGGCCGTGAAATGAAAAGGAATTTTTAGAATCCAACCATTAAGAGCATATGACCTACCGAAATCTTTTGGCTTTTATGCATTTGTGGATGAAAAAAATCTAGACTGTAAAAATATCTCCAGTACGACTTGACAGTGACATTTCTTTTGTTCTCTCTATGGGCCTTTTAGCTCGCTTGATCTCATTATTTGAAATTTAAATGGTTGAAATAATATTTTCTTGAAAAATATGTGATTAAGGGCGTGTTCGATAAAGATTAAAATCGGATTAAAATTAAAAAATTAGCCGTTATTGTTGACTTTTATTAAACGTGTAGGACCAAATAACGGTTATATTTTCAATTTTTGTTGGATTTTAAACTTAGCCAAACATGCTCTAAAAAAATTTAG